TTTCTTAGTTGCTAACCAACAACTCTGTAAGACAATTTTCTCTCGTGTTTCTCCCTTAGCTCTGAGGAGAGCAGCCTACACCTGGGGGAAAACACTAGCCATGCCCACAGTGTACTTCCAGGAAAGGAAATCAGACATCAGAGTAATATGAAGTATGGAGGCATGTTATCATGTGTTGCAGGATGAAAAGATTTGAAATTCAGTTTTACTAGATAATTGAATTCCACACCACACTCCTCTCAGGGCCTTTGACTCTAAAGAATTCTTCTTAAATTCCTAAAGGCTAAAAGAAAGTATTGAAAGAGAAGAGATTAGAGATTAGGGATGTTATTAAGAACTGAGCAAAATGGTAATAGAAACAAGAGGTAAAGTGTCCCAACACAATTTGGAAAAAGAGTTTTTTCAAAAAGTGCATCTGTTCGGCCATTTGTTGAAATTTGCATTAGCTCACCATTTAAATGGTGTTATAAATGATGGTGGGAGTCACTCTCAGTTGCCTTTCCAAGAGCCATTTGTTCTTTTTGTTTAAAGAATTCTGGTTTTATGGCCAGCTTTAGGGAATGAATCACAGTTTGAGCCAGAGGAATGTGATTTTTTTTCTATAAAGAGCTAGGTAGTGAATGTTTTAGGCTTTGCAGACTATATGGTCTCTGTTGTAATCAATCAACTTTTCCATAGTAGCACCAAACAGCTACAGACAATGTATACATGGATGAGTGTGTCTGTGTTCAAATAAAACTTTATTTACAAAAACAGGCACCAGGATGGATTTGGCCCAGGGACTATAGTTTATCAACCCTTGGTTTAAAGCAATCATAGCAAGTCCGTTTCCTTTGCCAGCAATCAATCTAATGATAGGTAGGTGACCTAGTTTTGCTCAGTAAGAAGTAAGAGGAAGTCGGTTAGGAGGTTTCTGACACAGAGTTTCTTTCATGATAAAAGAGAGGGGATATAAGAAGGTTTTTGGATCCCTTTTCTCCCTTTTTGCTTTGAACACTTGTGTGAGGACATGATGCTTGAAGCTGTGGCAGCCATCTTGTCCTCATGAGGCTTTACATTGGAAAACAAAAGCCAACAAGCTGAGAGGGGTTCAACGGCAGAATGAAAAGAGTTGAAGTTCTCACTAAGTCACTGAACTGACACCTATCTCAGTACTTCCTGTTAAGACAACAATAAATATCCTGATGATTAAGTCATTGCAGGACTGGCTTTTTGGTATTCGCAGCTGCAAGCGTTCTTAACTGATATATCCACAGAAGTTCAAAATGTAAGTAAAATTGTTTTAATGGTACCTTTAAATTCTTCTGAGTATCTTGGGATATTTTCTGCCATAGCACTGGGGCATGGGCTCATATAAAAGGAAAACAAGGATTGCCAATAAAAGTTCAGGATTTCCACAGTAGGAGAGGTAGAAGGGGTGGCGATTACACCAGTGCCACCCAATGCTACCATAGAGGATCGGCCATGCCTATGAAAGAGTTCATTGTTACCTATGAAATCATTTTAGGTCATATTCACGTAAGTCAGAGAGAGTATATTGATTGTCTAAAGCCAGGACTTGGCAAACTACAGCCCACTTTATTTGTAAATAAAATTTTATTGGAACACAGAGATGCCTATTTGTTTACATAGTACCTATGGCTGCTTTTGAACTACAGAGGCAGAACTGAGCAGTTGTGACAGAGACCACATGGCCTGAAAAACCGAAAATAATTACTCTCTGGTCCTTTCCAGAAAGAGTCCGCTGACCCCCAGTCTGGACCACGGTTATCCTCATCCCTACTCTAGACTCCAGATTCAGAGATTATTTAGTCAATTCCTTCAAATGCCCGGAAAGTTTAGGTAACCTGCTCAAGGTCATATGAATAATGCAGAATTGAGACTCGTAACATATCTATCATAAAAAATAATCCTAAGATATTATAAGTCAAATGTTCTTTTTTTTTTAAAAGATTGGCACCTGAGCTAACAACTGTTGCCAATCTTCTTCTTCCTTTTTTTTTTTTTTCCTGCTTTATGCCCCCAAATCCCCCTTTACATAGCTGTATATCTTAGTTGCAGGTCCTTCTAGTTGTGGGATGTGGGACGCCGCCTCAACGTGGCCTGACGCGCAGTGCCATGTCCGCGCCCAGGATCCGAACCCTGGGCCGCCGCAGCGGAGCACACAAACTTAACCACTCGGCCACGGAGCTGGCCCCAAGTCAAATGTTCTTGATTAAAGCTGATAATGTTTTTGTATGTTTGTTAAAACATGTTTTAATTCCCAGGCTTTCTAAATTTTCCATAGCTTACATTTCTTAACAAAAATTCATTCTGTAGCATAACCAGTTATCTATACATAAAATTTTATTTGAATTATCAACTGCTTATTCTTTGAAATAGAACTATGATAATTTCTGCAACATGTACCAGCAATATTCAGTCTTTCTCTTTTTATTTTTCTTTTTCTACATTCCTATCTCCAATAAAATAACCCTAAACTGGACTTCAGAGTCCAGTGAACATATCTCTATAGAACAGAACCGGGTCCTGGAAGTAATGGGGGAAAAAATGATTTCTAAGTGTCACAAAATTCATGCACTTGAGCTCAAGTACTTTAATCAGAAGAGAACACCTTAGACACTTAATAAAAACCTACTTACCACTATTTTAGGTAGAATTATTTGGCTTATTATCCAACAGAAGAAGAGAAGCAGCACATTTGAGAGGAAGAGAAAAGCTATAGAAAAGCACATAGCAGAGGTGAAAAATTGATTCCATGGAAATAGCATTGGTCAACAGCGTTGGTCAACCTGGATCTAAGCCACAATTACGTGGCTAAATAGGTTTTAGACCTTGGGCAAATCAGGAAACTTCTCTAAGATTCAACATTGTAATCTGTAAAATGAGGAAACTAGATCAATGTTTACCATATTATGTTCTAATGAAACAGTGATTTTGTGAGATGATTAATAGAGGTATTCCACAAAACAAGATTTCATAGTAAATGAAATTCAAAAATACTGTGTAACTTTGCATAGTATTGCCCCAGCAGAAATTCATAAAGAACATTAGCATAATAAAAGTTCAGAGAACTCCTGAAGTTGTGTTTTTAACCCATTGTGTTTCCCAAAGTTATTAAATGATGAGACTCACATCTTTTTATTTTTTGAAACAGCTGTCCATTAATGTAAGGAGAACTTAAGTTTTACAAGATACAAGTTGAGACCCATGAACCTAGATGATTCCTAAGGTCCTCTTATGTTTTTAAAATTCTAAGCATTTATTCAAAAAGTATTTGTTTTATTCAATAAAAATATTATGTGTAAGGTATGGGACTAGGCACTGTAGATAAGCCTATTAATAAGATAGATTTCTGCCCTCCTGGACATTATGTCCAAGATCAGGAAGACGTTATTAAATATATAATATAAGTTCAAAGAGTTGTAAGAGCTATGAACATACATAAAGTATGATAAGAAGATGTAGTATAAAAGGGTGCAGGAGTTCAGGGAAAGCCACGTTGTAGAGGTAATGTTGAACGTGAATGAATGAAGTGAGTAAGTCATGGGGAGATCTGAGAGAAGAGCTTCGTAGGTAGAAGGAACAGCAGTTGGAAAAGCTTGACATGTTAAAGAATAGTAAGAAGGCCAATGTGGCTAGAGGAAGTGAGAAGAAGAGAGATAGGAGATGAGATCAAATAGCTGGTAGGGGACCAACTCGTGGGATTTTTTTGGTCATAGAAAATGATTTGAATTTTCCTCTGAGTATGGTGGCACTCCATTTGGATGAAGAGCTTTGAACCAAGGAAACAAATTAAGTGGCCACTGCAGTAGCCTCCAGAGATGATGGTGGCTCAGCCCAGGGAGCACTGGAAGTCGATGTGGTCAGATTGGGATATATTTTTAAGGTTGGAATTACAGGACAGCTCAATTGATTGGGGGTAGAGTATGAGAGAAAGAAGAGAGATAAGGGTTGTATTGTTCTATATGAAAGCTCACACACAGCTTGAAAAGAAGAAAAATAACAGAAAAATTACTGAAATTAGACAAAGTATTAATTATATTTCATTATTTACATGTGTATTATATATTTTATATGTTTTGACTCTTATATCAAAAAGATAATGAAGGGGACTTCCACTTCCAACCAAAATGCAGTCATAGGGACCAAATTTACCCTCTCATCTGAAAGAATCAAAAACAAGACAAAATACCTGAGAGATAATGGTTTTTAAGACATTAGGCGTCAGGCCACGAAGGGCAATGATTTCTCAGAAACAAAAGACCAGTGAGGTGAGCCCTATTACTGCCCCCACTTACTGCTGGGAGAGAGTTTCTAGGTCATGACCCAGTGAGAGGGAACCCAGGAGAGACTGATGGTCGTCCTGAGTGGAGGGAACAAAGCAGACAAAATGAAATCGGAAAATTATACTCAATACAAAACAAAGCAGAAAAAAAAAAAAAGAGCGAAAATCAGATGAGGCAAATAGAAAACAAATACTAAGATGGCAGATTTCAACCCAAACATAACAATAGTCATGTTAAACGTTAAATGCCCTAAAATGCAAAGACACAAATAGGTTAAAACTATAGGAAAAGATATGCCACGGTAGCAGTAATCAAAAGAAAGCTGGAGTGGCTATATTAATATCAAAGTGGATTTTCAGGATAAAAACAATAGAGATAAGAGGATCGTTTCATAATGATAAAGGGGGTCAATTCATCAAGAGAACATAAATATCCCAAACCTTTATGTACCTAACGAAAGAGTTTCAAAATACGTGAAGCAAGAAACTGATAGAAAGGAGACTGAAAGGAGAAACAGTCAAATCATGATGACAGTTGGAGATTTCAGCACCCTCTCTCAATAATTTATAAAACAAATAGACAAAATATCAGTGTGAATACAGAAGATGAACAACACTACCAACCAACTTGACCTAATTGACATTTACAGAAGACTCCACCCAACAAAAGATAATTTTAAAAGATTATTTTTTAAAAAGCAGACACAAGTACCTGGCAGTCAGGGGGTTCTGAGAACAAGATTATGGCTCCACACAATCCAATCCGCCCTGAAGACAGCACTGGATACAACTGTCTCAGGTAATAATTCATCTGGTTCTAAGGAACAGAATGTGGACACAATAGTAGTTTATGTAAATAGAATGTCATTTTTCTTATATGGTAGCAATAAATCAATGTTTTCAAAGACAAAAATCTCTGTGATTCTCTTGGTCTTTCTCCCTTGAATATTAAGCCATTCAAAAATGGTTTTAAAAAATAACTGCAGGGAATCTAGCCATCCTGTCAATTCTAGGGGAAAAGAAGTTAGAAGAAAAAAAAGAAAAGAGCAGTGCGGTTTCAGTCCCTTCTTACCAGGAGTTGAAATTTTCTTAAAAAACTCCCAGAAAACTCCCAGCAGAATTCTGCTCAAGTCTCATTGGCCAGAATTGGATCCCATGGTCAACCTTATCTTTAACGGAGGCTGGGAAAGGGAAAGAGAAAAAATATAGTTATAAACAGCCTAGATCAGCACTGTCCAGTGGGTATATTATACAAGCAACATGTGTAATACTCTACAGGGCTTTTTTTTTTAAGTAAAAAGAAATAAGTGAATTCATTTTAATAATACCTTTTTAACTCAATATATACAAAGTATTATCATTTCAAAGTGTAATCAATATAAAAATTGTTGAGATAATTTACCTTCTTTTCTTTTTTTAGACTTAGTTTTTGAAATTGAGTGTATATTTCACATTTACAGCACATCAATTTGGACTGGCCACAGTAGTAGCCCAATGTTCAGCAGGTACTTGTGACTAGTGCTTCCCGTATTGGGTCGCGCAACTCTAGAGCAATCACAATCCATTGCCTGGGGCAGAGCACTTTGCCACCCCGATCAAATCAGGTTTTGTTAACAAGGGGAGAAGAGAGGTTAAAGTGGACATGAAGAGAAGCAACTAACAATGACTGCCACATCAATGCAATTACTGAAATTGTTTTTGACTATTTTGAATTGTCAAATAAAAGTGAAATTAGATGGTTTCTGTTTAAGAATGGAGTGAAGTCCACAAACTATTGTAAAAGTTCCTTGTGTAATTAAACCCCCTGTATGTTCTTCAGACAATTTAGCATAACAAATGGACTCAAGTCCCCAGACTTTATTCATTCAGTAGATGTTTACTGATAGCCTTACAGTATTTTGTCAATCCCTTCAATGGCCTTTATCTGAGACTTCTGGGTCTTTCCACATGCTGTTTCCTCTAAATGGAATATTCTCCCTTCTCTTCCCACCTTCCCATCCCTAAACCTGGCTGACTCCAACTCATCCTTCAGATCTCAGATTAAATGTTATTGTCTCAGGAAAACCATTTCTAACCCCATATAATTACATTATATGTTTTCATGGCTGCATGTCATCCAACTATCATCATGGTCATTACTATAATTACTATAATTATTTCTTTTGCTATCCATTTCCCTCACTATATTAAATGCCCCAAAACGTTTAAGATCATGTCTGTGTTGAACAGCAGGATCTAGCAGACTGCCTGCCCCATGTTTAATATATACTTGTTGAATGAATGAATGAATAAATGAATGAATAGAATGCCATATAAGCTGTGAAAAAAGAAAATTGAAGACAGATCTAGGATAAATGAGTAATACTACAGTGTGGCTAAGGCTACTACGGAAGCATGAATGAGATGCTACGGAATACAAAGAGGTGAGTTTAACCTGAGTCTTGAAAAATGTGTTCACCAGATCGTCAGGGTGGGTAAGAGCATTTCAGGCAGAAGAGACAATAGCCTAGCAAAAGACTAATAAAATCCTGAATCAAGGCAGTTGTAGTGGGAAAGGATGAATATATCTTGATTTAAAAATGAAAAATAGAGAGAGAGATTTTTTTTTTTTTTGCAGGCGAAGATTCACCCTTTGTTAACATCTGTTGCCATTCTTTCTCCTTTTTTCTCTCCTCCAAAGCCCCAGTACATAGCTGTCTACAGTTGTAAGTTCTTCTAGTTCTTCTGTGTGGGCCACCACCACAGCATGGCTACTGACAGACAAGTGATGTGGTTCCACACCCAGGAACCGAACCCAGACAATAGAAGAAGAGCGTGCTGAACTTTAACACTAGGCCCTCAGGGCTGGCTCTCAAGATACATTTTGAAAGTAGAATCAACAGGTTTGTTGAGAGATTGGTTGTAAATGTTGAGGAAGCAGGTCTCCAAGATGACTTCCGCATTTTCACCTTAGGCAACTAGGTTGGTGATAATACCATTTGTTAAGTAGAGATTAAAGGAGAAGTAAAAGTTTGGAAAGATGAGAAAGTTAGCTAAGCTTAGGAGAAGCAGAATTTTGGGGTTTGGGGAAACTTTTGGGTATAGGGGATAAGAAATTACAAGTTTGAAGTGGAAGCCATATTTGACGGAATCAATGGAGCATAGAAGATAGTTGAAAACACGGGCACAAATGAGATCAAGCACAACTTAATGAACATCTGCAAAAACATGGCGTGACTATAAAGTAATACAATTGCTTCTTCAAAAGAAAAACAACAGCATCACTTAAACATCCAAATGAATGATGTTTCTTTCATCTGAGTCACCTCAGGAGGCCCTGCCCTCATGCTGACTCTGCGCTGCCACTGCTAAAAATATTTTCAACACTCCTTTTTTGGCCACCCTTTAAAAAGTGAACAAGATATTCTTTTGAATATCCTCAGTAATGGCAGATCTTCATTGTTTCTGGATAAATTTAGTGGAGGAAGCAAAGAAACTTCAGAGCCAAGTCTGATGAATAAGGTGAATGAATGATCATATTATATAACATCATTTTGGCTCAAAGAAGAGGAGTAGCAAGTAGCAAGAAAGGTTTTCTACATGATTTATAACTGAATCTTAAAGCAATTTTAATTCAACAAATGTTTCTGCTGTGTCTATGAGCCAGGCACGTTGCTTTTATGTGTACAAGAGCAAAAGGGAAATTCCTGATGTGTTTTGAGCAATAGCAGTTGAATAAGCATCGTTTGAATAAGTATTCAGTTTTCTTAATTGACTCCTTTGAAAGACATATTACTTAAAGAAGTCTTATGTCTTCTTGGCTTCCACATGGTTGGGTCAAATGCCTCTATTGTGCCTCCAAAGCTCCATGTGTATATCTCTTTGATAGCCTATTCACATGATGCTGTTATTATCTCTACTGTCTGTTTGCCTCAGAAGACATTATGATTATCTTATTCAGCCCTTAGCACAGTGCCTGATACAGAGTAGTGGTTAATAATTGCTTGTTCATTGAAGAGGTAGATAGATTGAGTGAGTGAGTGAATGCATAATTTTAAAGATTTTTTTTCTTCCTTTTTCTCCCCAAAGCCCCCCGGTACATAGCTGCACATTCCTCATTGTAGGTCCTTCTAGCTGTGGCATGTGGGACACAGCCTCAGCGTGGTTTGATGAGCAGTGCCATGTCCGCGGCCAGGATTCGAACCAATGAAACACTGGGCCGCCTGCAGTGGAGCACAAGAACTTAACCACTCGGCCACGGGGCCAGCCCTGTGAATGCATAATTTTAAAACTTCAATTTTTAAAACTTCATTTCAGCTCAAATGGGCTGTCCTCAGAAAGGCCTTTCTCAGTCAGTCTACCTGAATATCCACACAGATCTACCTCTGCCAATCTCTGTCTTTTTACTTTGCTTTACTTTCTCCATAGTATATGTGAAATTATGTATGTACTTATCTATCTTTTATTGTCTGTCTCCCTCAGTAGAATGTAACCTATACGAGAACAGTGGCCTTGCCTAGATTGTTCAGGGATGCATCCCCCAGTGCCTAGAACAGTTGCTGGCACAATAGTTTCTTTTTGAGTAAATAAATGCACATTTCAGTTATACATTGCTATGTAATAAATTACCCCAAAACCTAGTGGCTTGAAACAACAACCATTTTATTATATCTCATGATTTTGTGGGTCAGGAATTAGGGCAGGGCTCAGCTGGGAGACTCTTCTGGCAGCTGAAGACCTTCAGTAATATTCAGCTGGTGAATGAGCTGGTCTGGAGGGTCCAAGACAGCTTTAATTACATTACTGACTCCTTGGCAGGGATGACTGGAAGGCTGGGCTTAGCTGGGCCTGATGACCAGTGTGCCTACGTGTGACCTCTCCAACATGGAGGTCTAAAGGGTGTCAGGTTTCTTACTTTGTGGATGAGAGCTCCCAGAGTGAACATTTAAAGAGGTATATGGGCAGAAGATGTAAGACTTCCTATTACTGATCTTCAAAAGTCCCACTCTGTCATATTCATCGAGCAAGTCAGTAAGTATAGCCTATATTCAAGAGAAGGAGAATTAGACTTTATCTCTCAAAGAGGGATTAGGAAAGAATTTATGGCCATGTTTCAATCTTCTACACTGCATGAAGAAAAAAATTAATGTGTAAAATGGGTTGGGATCTAAAACAAAACACTGATTGCTAAATGAGACAGACATAAGTAACCAAGAAGAGAAGAAATTACAACCTAAACTTCTTTTCTCTACCCACAAAAAGACCAAATTTATAGAGAGGTCACACTCTGGGAAACAATATCTATTAAACAATTACTATGTATCGACCACTTTACCCAGTACTTTATATGTATTCTCTCCTTTAATCCTCACAAACCACAGTATTGAGTGGATATTATTGTGATGATTACAATACTACCTGAGTGACGCGAACATTCTAATCCATCAGACCATAGGACTCTCAAGGTAGGCATCATAATATATTGCAGGGCTGATATTTCTCCCTAAGAATGAGCCGGAGGGGTCTATTTTAAGAAAAATTAAAAGAACGTGAGCTCTAGAATCAGCCCTGGTTTTTCCTAGTAATAACTGTGCAACAGTGGGCAAGTTACTTACCTTAATTAATCATCTGTAAAATAGGGATGATAATATCTAGCTTGTAGGCTACAGTGAAGATGCAAGTGAATATTTTAAAGTGCCTAGAATAGAGCTATCACTTAGAAAGATTTGAAAAGTGTTAGTTCCTATCTCAGATGTATAACGAGTGTCCTACTTATAGGAAGAATCACCCCATTGTGTGTGACAATTTTTCAGAATTTCTCCTGGCATAATTAAATATTTATAACTACAGAAAAAAAGGATGCTCCAGAAATTTAGATTTATCTATCTCCCTCGCTAGTTCAGTTTCTGCCCTACCTAGTGTGGACGATAGAATCAATTCTTCTAACAAAAGTAAGATGACCACTGATAAAGTAGTAGGGAGCTGTCAACACAATTTTTCATTGGTAATAGAAATAGTTTTAGAAAAGGCTTACTTTTTAGTAAAATTAGAATGACCTATAAAATAAAATTGGAAAGAAAATGCTCTGGATTCAGTATCCAGTTCCATGTTCTACCAAGTATCATAGGGGGAGAATAAGTGATATTAGGAAATCAGCATTTTTAACTTTCACAATTTTACCACCGTGATTAGCATGAATATTTTATTACCAATAGTATATAGTCTCGGTTTTGTAAGAAAATTTCCTTTCCTACAGCTAAAAGCACAA